TAACATTGATTCTTCCGACTTATCATTGGTTTGCTGCCCGTAGGTGACATCATCCATAAAACACAGCTTCAGTTTCCACATGTACGCTGATGATACACAGCTTATCAGACTTATCAGACTGCTTGTTCAATATCTAGCACAGAAAGAGCAGATACCTTCTCCAGGATGACCAAGCCATCATTTTCAGTCCTCACCACAAACCTCATTCCTTAGCAACTGATTCTATCTCTCTCTTTGGCAATTGTCTGCAGCTGAACTAGAGCAGCCACAGGCTCAGAGCCAAATCTGATTCCAAGATTAGCCTTCAACCATATATCCATTTCACTACAATGGCCAACTACTCTCAGCTCTGTATTGTTGCTTAACTCTGCTCTGGCCTCAGCTCATCTGCTGCTGAAAATGTCATTAAAGTGTAGGAGCATACTTAGAACATAGAACAGTACAGCACAGTACAGGCCCTTCGGCCCACGATGTTGTGCTGAACCTTTACCCTAGTCCTAAGGTCTATCTAACCTCCACTCCTACCTTACACTATCATCCATATGCCTATCTAATAGCCACTTAAATGCCCCTAATGAGGCCGACTCCACTACCCTCTCCGGCAATGCATTCCACGCCCCTACCACTCTCTGAGTAAAGAACCTACCTCAGACATCTCCCCTATATCTACCTCCACTCACTTTAAAACTATGCCCCCTCGTAATAGCTACCTTCATCCCAGGAAAAGGTCTCTAGCTGTCTACTCTATCTATACCTCTGATCATTTTGCACACCTCTATCAAGTCACCTCTCATCCTTCGTCATTCTAAAGAGAAAAGCCCTAGCTGTCTCAACCTTTCCTCATAAGACCTTCCCTCCATTCCAGGCAACATCCTGGTAAATCTCCTGTGCACCTTTTCCAACACTTCCACATCTTTCCTGTAATGAGGTGACCAGAACTGGACACAATACTCCAGATGTGGCCGAACCAGGCTTTTGTACAGCTTAAGAGGGAAATCAGAAGAGCAAAAAGAGGGTATGAGATGGATCTGGCAGATAAGGTTAAAGATAATCCCAATAGGTTCTATAGCTATATTAAGAGTAAAAGGGTGGCTAGGGAGAGAATAAGTCCCTTTAACAATCAGCATGGCCATTTATGTGTGGAGCCATATGAAATGGGGGAGATTTTTAATGAATATTTCTCTTCAGTGTTTACTGAGGCGAAAATCATGGATGCTAAGGAAATAAGGGAAACAAATGGGGATGTTTTAGACCGCATACATATTGCCAGAGAGGAGGTGTTTGCAGCCTTAGATCACATTGACGTAGATATATCACCTGGGCCTGACAAATTTCGTCCTCGGATGTTGTGCGAGGTTAGGGAAGAAATTGCAGAAGCTCTTGCAGAGATTTTTGCTTCATCTTTACCTACTGGTGAAGTTCAGGAAGACTGGAGGGTAGCAAAGACAAGCCAAGGAACTATGGGCCAGTGAGCCTGACATCGCGGTAGGCAAGTTATTAGAGAGGATACTGAGGGACAGGATCAACCAACATTTGGATAGTCAAGGTCTGATTAGGGATAGTCAGCATGGATTTGTGCATGGGAAGTCATGTCTGATAAATCTTTCTGAGTTTTTCGAAGAGGTAACCAAGAGAATAGATAGGGTAGGGTGGTGGATGTTGTCTGTATGGACTTTAGTAAGGCCTTTGACAAGGTCCTGCACAGCAGGCTAGTCATGAAGGTTAGGTTGCATGGAATCCAGGGAGAGCTAGCTAATTGGATTCAAAACTGGCTGGATAGTAAGAAGCAGAGGGTGATGGTTGAAGATTGTTTCTTGGACTGGAGACCTGTGACTAGTGGTGTGCCACAAAGTTCGGTGCCGGGACCTTCGTTATTTATTAATTACATAAATGATCTGGATGTGAATGTATAAGGCATGATTAGTAAGTTGCGGATTGTATAAAATTAGAAGGTATTGTTGATTGAGAGGAATGTTATCAAAAATTACAGAGGGATCTTGATCAGATGAGGAAGTGGGCTGAGCATTGGCAAATGCAATTCAATACAGATAAGTGTGAGGTGTTGCTTTTTGGAAAGTCAAACCAAGATAGGACTTCTACAGTTGATGGCGAGGTCCTGAGGAGTATTGTGGAAGAGAGGGACCTATTAGTACAAGTACATAGTTCATTGAAAGTGGCGTCACAGATTGACAGGGTGGTGAAGTAGGCATTTGGCATGCTGGCCTTCATCGGTCGAGGCATTGAGTATAGGAGTTGGGACGTTATGTTACAGTTGTATAAGTCGTTGGTGGGGCTGCACTTGGAGTATTGTGCACATGTTTTGGTCATCCTGTTCTAGGAAAGACATAGTTAAACTGGAAATTGTGCAAAGAAGATTTACAAGGATGTTGCCAAGGTCAGTATGCCTGAGTTATAGCGAGAGGTTGGCAGGATAGGACTTTATTCCTTGGAACGTAGGAGATTGAGGGGTGACCTTATTGAGGTGTATAAAATCATGAGAGGCAAAGATAGGATGATTGCATATAGTCTTTTTCCCAAGGATGGGGAATTGAAAACTAGAGGGCATAGGTTTAAGGTGAGAGAAGGAAGATTTTAGAAGGACCTGAGGGGTAACTTCTTCATGCAGACAGTGTTGCATCTATAGAATGGGCTGCCAGAGAAAGTGATTGAGGTACAGCAGCAACATTTAAAAAACGTTTGGATAGGTACATAGATGGGAAGGATTTAGAGGGATATGGACCAAATACAGGCAGTTGGAACTAGCTGAGTGGGCACCATGGTAAGCATGGACCAGTTTGGGCTGAAGGGCCTGTTTCTATGCTGTATTACTCTATGACTCTTTGATTCTAATTCCTTTGACACAACTCGGCATATCTATACTAGTGCCATCTTCCATGGTCTCCCATCTTTCATCTCACATAAACTTGCATACATCCAAAGCACAACTGCCTGACTTACACCAAGTCTTGTTCACCCATTATCTTTGTACCTGTAGACCTATTTGGAGGAGACAATAGTGTAATGGTAATGTCATTGAGCCAGCACTCCAGAACTCCAGTCTAATACTTTGGGGAACATGGATTCAAATCCCACCGTGATAGCTGGTGGAATTTAAGTTCCATTAATGAATATGGAGTTGAGAGGACTTTTATGGTATATCAGTAATGTCCCTGCCTCTGAGTCAGGAGGTCTGAGTTCAAGAGGTATGTGATAACATTTCTGAACAGATTGCTTAGATAATGTCTCAATCTGAAGTGGAAAGCTGATGTCAGTAGTGGTAAACATGAAACTGTTGTCAATCATTGTCAAACCAAACCCATTTGTTTTAACTAGTATGGCTTATGAGTGAGATAGCAAGAACTGCAGATGCTGGAGTCAGAGTCAACACAGTGTGGAGCTGGAGGAACACAGCAGGTCACACAGCATCAGCGGAACAGGAAAGTCGATGTTTCGGGTCAGGACCCTTCATGTTGAAGGGTGCCAACTCAAAACGTCAACTTTCTTGTTCCTCCAATGCTACCTGACCTGCTGTGTTCCTTCAGCTCCATACTGTGTTGACTTTAGCTCATGCGTGACTCCAAACCACAGCAACCTGGTTGATTCTGAACTGCCTTCTGAAATGGTCTTGTAATCCATTCAGTTTAAGGGCAGTTAGGGATGGGAAACAAATGTTGACCTTGCCAGTGATGCCCATATACCAGCAAAGAATGATAAAAGATATTGTTTCCAGCTGACAATGTTCAATTTCTTATCTTTGTTTTCAAATCTTCCTCTGGACTTATGGTTAGATGAGTTATCAGAGTTAACAAGCTTTCAAAATCTTTGCACTCCTCCAATTCTGGATTCTGGCATAAATTTGCAACAAACTCCCATGGAACATCTTGGGACATTTTTATTATATCAAAGATACTACAGAAAGTCAGGGTCTGGTATTGATCTATATGTTTTTAATGCACTAATATCACACCACTGTACAGCTAGAGGTTTTCTGTAGTGATGGTGAAGAGGTCAGCCAGCTGGACCTCATAAAATATGAGCTCCCTTATTGGGGCTGTTAATCTGGTCCAGTGAGAGAGCCTTGGCTAATAGATAAAAAGAGGAGAGTCAGAGATTCTGACACTCCAGATACTGACTCTGACGAGGCAGTGCCAGAGTCAACGACTTTCCATGTGTAAATAAAGGGTGACTTGATGACGTGATACCAGTCTCTGTGGAGTTATTTCAATTCTCATTGTAATAATACCATTGCATATTATAGGTCAAGTGTTCTAAGTGTGATAATATCATAACATCGTTACAGGTCTGAATGATCTTAACATGATAATGTCATAAAACCATTACTGGTAGAATTACATAAGAACATAAGAAAATAAGAACTAGGAGCAGGAGTAGGCCGTCTGGCCCTTCGAGCCAGCTCCACCATTCAATAAGATCATGGCTGATCTTTTCATGGACTCAGATCCACTTACCCACGTTCTCACCGTATCCCTTAATTCCTTTATTGTTCAAAAAAAATCTACCTTTTTTTTAAAAGCGTTTACTGAAGTAGCGTCAACTACTTCACTGGGCAAGGAATTCCATAGATTAACAACCCTCTGGGTGAAGAAATTCCTTCTCAATTCAGTCCTAAATCTGCTCCCTCTAATCTTGAGGCTATGCCCTCTTGTCCTAGCTTCACCTGCCAGTGGAAATATCCTCTCTACTTCTATCTTATCTATTCCCTTCATAATTTTATATGTTTCTATAAGATCCCCCCTCAATCTTCTGAATTCCAGTGATATAATCCCAATCTACTCAGTCTCTCCTCATAAGCCAACCCCCTCAATTCCGGAATCAACCTAGTGAACCTCCTTTGCACCCCCTCCAGTGCCAATACATCCTTTCTCAAGTAAGGAGACCAAAACTGCACACAGTACTCCAGGTGTGGCCTCACCAGCACCTTGTACAGCTTGTACAAGTCCGCTTTTTCTTTTTTTGATAATATCCTTGCTTGATTACAGGTCTGAACATTAACATACACATCAATAATCTTGACTTCAGGTTTCTAACTACTGTTCAACTGTGCATTATTTGTGTCTCGCTGCAGGTGAACATGGTTGTGGTTCTTTTACAAATTTGTCTTTGATAACTTCTGATACCTTTCATGACCAGCATATTGTACCATCATTATATTTAAAACTCAAGAAATAATCTTAATTTCTTCCTTTTCTATTGAAAAGCTTATGTGTCCCCTTCAACTAGTTTTCCTCCACTAATTTTGGGTATTTAACAGAGCAGTTTTAACACATTGATTAAGTTGAACCTCCATATTTCAGTAATAAGTAAGATACAGTCAACTCTTTGCTTGGTTTGTTAAGGTTCATGTCAGCATAGAAATTAATGAATTGATGATGCCAGGAAAAAGTTTAAATCGTGTTGCACGTACATCTGTGTGAACAGATAATTTTATCTATTATATTGTATATTTAAATAGGTAAATATTTCTCAGTACTCTGTGCCTCAGGTTGTATTGAATCTTTATATTGATAGGTTGCTACAGATGTGCAACGAATGAGTATTATGATGACAACTTGCAATCATGCGTATCCTGTGGTAAGTAATTGTATTTTACATTAAAGTATTCTAATATGCTAGTTCTGTCATTGAGTATATTTAAACTGTGTGTGTCTGAATGATACAGATTAGGAAGGCCAAAATCTGATCAGCTAAATCCAATCCAGTTCAGGTGGTTTAAGAGTGCTACAGTGATTTCTGCTGTTCTGGGTGAGTAAACATAAATTGGTGAGGATTAGGATCCTGATCATGATCAATTTTTCCTGTTGAAAAAGAGTGGATTTTACAAAATGAAAATCTGAAGAAGGGTCCCAACCCAAAACGTCAGCTTTCCTGCTCTTCTGATGCTGCCTGGCCTGCTGTGTTCCTCCTGACTTCCCACCTTCTGCCACCTTGAATAACTATAGTTTACTCCCACTCTCTGCTTTCACACTTAAAGTTGGCTGCCAGTCCATTCTGCTAGTTGGCCGTTGTATCCATTCATTAGTCTATTACCTGTACCTAGTTGTCCTTGAGAAGATGGTGCTGAGTACCCTTCTTAAACTGCTGTAGTCCACATGCTGTAGGTTGACCCACAATGCCGTTAGGGAGGAAATTCCAGGATTTTGACCTTGTGACAGAGAATGAATGGTGATATATTTCCAAGTCAGGATGGTGAGTGGCTTGCAGGTGGTGATGTTCGTATGTATCTGCTGCCCTGGTCCTTCTAGGTGGAAGTGGTTGTGCATTTGGAAGGTGCTGTCTAAGGATTTTTGGTGAATTTCTGCAATATATCTTGTAGATAGTACACATTGCTGCTACTACTAAGGGTCTGTGGGGGAGGGAGTGGATGTTTGTGGATGTGGTGCCAGTTAAGCAGGCCGCTTTGTCCTGGATGCTATTAAGCTTCTTCAATGTTGTTGGAGTTGCATTCATCCAGGCAAGTGGGGAGTATTCCATCACACTCCTGAATTTTGCCTTGTAGATGGTGGATAGGCTTTAGGGAGTCAGTACTCACTGCAGTATTCCTAGCTTTTATACCTGCAATGTAGCCACTGTATTTATGTGAGGAGTCCAGTTGAGTTTCTGGTCAATGGTAATCCTAAGAATGTTGATATGGGGGATTCAATGATAGCTACACCATTGAATGTCAAGCGGCAGTGATTAGATTGTCTGTATTGGAGATGGTCATTGTTTGGCATTTGTGTGTGGCACAATTATTACTTGCCACTTGTCAGCCCAAGGACGGATATTGATCAGATCTTGTTGCATTTGCACATGACTGCTTCAGTATCTGAAGTGTTGTTCTGAACATAGCGCAGTCATCCCTACTTCTGACGTCATGATGAAGGATAGTGATCAATTCACAATCGGCTGAGTGCAGCTTGAAGTCAGGGGCTGTCACTCTCACCTCACCTCTGGAATTCAGCTCTTTTGTCCTTGTTTAAATCAAGGCTGTGATGAGGTCAGGAGCTGACGGCCCTGGTGTAACCCGGACTGTGCTTCACTGAGTAGGTTATTGCTAAGCAGGTGCTGCTGGATAGCATTGTTGATGACACCTTCCATAAATTTACTGATTTTCAAGGCTAGATTTTTGGGGCTATAAATCGGTTAACTCTGTCCATCACTTGCTGCTGTTTGGCGCACAAGTTGTCCTGGTTTGTAGCTTCAGCAGGTTAACATAGATGAGAAAAATAATGTAGAAAAAATTAAAAATAAACAAAGGAAGGATTATCATCAGGTTAGGTCTGTTACCATAGAGTAGTAATATCTGGGTTACTCCCAGTTCCAGGGAGACCCAGGGAGATATTGAGGAAAGAGATCAGTCTGAGACTGGTGCAGTTGGGAAAAGGAGCAAGTCAAACTGTCAGGGCAGGCAGTAACATAGCAGAGAACGAGGTAGGACTGATAAATTAAACTGCATTTATTTCAATGCAAGAGGCCTAATAGCTAAGGCAGATGAACTCAGGGCATGGTTGGGAATATGGGACTGGTATATCATAGCAATTACAGGGTCGTGGCTCAGGGATGGACAGGACTGGCAACTTAATGTTCCAGATGCTATAGGAAGGATAGAAACGGGGTCAAGAGAGGAGGAGGAGTGGCATTTTTGATTAGGGATAACATTACGGCTGCACTTAAGGAAGATATTCCTGGGAATACATCCAGGAAAGTTATTTGGTGGAACTGAGAAATAAGAAAGGGATGATCACCTTATTGGGATTGTACTGTGGGCCCCCCAATAATCAGTGGGAAATTGAGACACAAATTTGTAAGGAGATCTCAGTTACCTGTAAGAATATAAGGTCATTATGGTAGGGGGTTTTAACTTTCCAAACATAGACTGGGATTGCCATAGTGTTAGGGACTTGAATGGGAAGGAATTTGTTAAGTGCATACAAGAACATTTTCTGATTTAGTATGCAGATGTACCTACTAGAGAAGGAGCAAAACTTGACCTACTCTTACAAAATAAGGCAGGGCAGGTGACTGAGTTGTCAGTGGGGGACCACTTCAGGGCTAGTGACCATAATTCTATTATATTTAAGATAGTGATGGTAAAGGATAGACCAGATCTAAAAGGTAAAGTTCTAAATTTGAGGAAGACCAAAGTTGATTGTGAGAGGATGTTCACAGGTAACGGGATGGGTGGAAAATGGGAAGCCTTCAAAAATGAGAAAATGAGAGTCCAGAGACAGTATGTTCCCGTTAGGGTGAAAGAGAAGGCTGGTAGGTGTAGGGAATGCTGGATAACTAGAGAAAGTAAGGTTTTGGTCGAGAATAAGAAGACTGTAATGAGGTCAGGAGCTGAGTAGCCCTGGTGGAATCCAAACTGGGCGTCACTGAGCAGGTTATTGCTGAGCAGATGCTGTTGGATAGTACTGTTAATGACACCTTCCATTACTTTACTGATGATTGAGAGTAGACTGACGGGGCGGTAATTGGCCACGTTGGATTTGTCCTGCTTTTTGTGTAAGGACATACTTGGGCAATTTTTCACATTGTCGGGTAGATATCAGTGTCGTAAATGTACTAAAGCAGCTTGGCTAGGGGAGCGGCAAGTTCTGGAGCACAAGTCTCCAGTACTATTGCCGGAATGTTGTCAGGGCTTGTAACCTTTGCAGTATCCAGTGTCTCCAACCGTTTCTTGATATCACGGGGAATAAATCGAATTGGCTGAAGGCTGGTATCTGAAATGCTGGGGACCACTAGAGGATTAACAGATTTGGTGGGAGATAAGGGGGCCTGCAGTTGGGTATAACTGGAGACCCCCAAGCCCAGCACGGCAGAGAAGGAAGAGAGAGAGGAGAAAAAGAATGTGAATGATACCAGCTCTCTGATACCAGCATTGCGATACCAGCAACGTGCCCGAATTCCAACACGGTGTGCGCTCTGAGGTGGGCTCCGTGATGAGAGTTTGAGAGTCCGAGCGAGAAGCAGGCCCCGCTCACGAAGGAAAGCAGCCCTCACAACCACTGAATACCAGCAGCTAACCACAAACCTCTACTCGATGTCCAGAGGCAACAAAAGGCATCTAGAGACACAAGACACTGACTGGGACAAAGCCAGCAACATCTACCACCATCCACGACAACAACCCGCTCACAAGGCCCACCAGAAAAAAAAGAAAACCCAAGCTACCACCGGTCTGGTCCCACATGTCTAACTGCATCAGCGGACACCACTAGACTGACTGTAACTGGTACTTGCAGCCCTTCGCGGACTCGCAGCTACAGCAAGAGACTACGGACAAGAGCCAGTCAAAATCATGTTTTCACACCAGGGGTGAGCCTCAGGTCATCGAGACTCTAACCCAGCTTGGCTAGTCTTAGATAGGGGAAGGTGGGGTTCAGGAGGGCTAACAATGTAGGGCACCCCTCAGGAAGGGAAGTGGATTAGGACTCCGGGTCAGCAGGTACTCTCTCTCACTCACTCCCCCTTGTTAGCATACGTAACAGCCACCCACTATATCTATTTATCTACTGTATCACTCGGCTGTAAGGCGTAACTGGGGGTCAAGTTAACTGGGAGACAGGTCTCAGTCAAAGACCGTTTTTTTTTGATATTCACTTTCTTGTTTTCTGTAAATATATTAAATTTGCTTGTTTGTTCAATAAAATCTGTTTCTTTGCCTCTGAAACATCTGCCTTCTGTGCTTTCCATCACATCACATTCCATACATAAGCCCAGTGTCAGAACCAGGGAGCTGGTGAACAGTAAACCACGTAGCACTCCCTACACCTGCTGAGCTTTTCCAGCAACGTCTGTTTTTATTTCTGATTTACAGTATCCACAGTTTGTTGGGTTTTTGTTTTGTACTCTAGAACTCTGTGGGAACCTAGGGAAGTCATTGCTGGGCCCTTTATTGAGATATTTGTATCATCAGTAACTACAGGAAAGGTGCCAGAAGACTGGAGATTAGCTAACATGATGTTATTATTTAATAAAGGTGGTAAGGAAGAGCCAGGGAACTTACACCGGTGAGCCTTATATCAGTGGTGGGCAAAAACAGAAGTTGCTGGAAAAGCTCAGCAGGTCTGGCAGCATCTGTGAAGAAAAAAATCAGAGTTAACATTTCAGGTCCGGAACTGTGTTCTGAGGAAGGGTCACCAGACCCAAAACGTTCACTCTGATTTTTTCTTCACAGGTGCTGCCAGACCTGCTCAGCTGTTCCAGCAACTTCTGTTTTTGTTCCTGATTTACAGCATCCACAGTTCTTTCAGTTTTTATCAGTAGTGGGCAAGTTGTTAGAGGGAATCCTGAGGGACAGGATTTACGTGTATTTGGAAGGTAGGGATTTAATAGGGATAGTCAACATGGCTTTGTGCACGGGAAATCATGTCTCATGAACTTAATTGAATTTTTTGAAGAAGTAACAACGAGGATTGATGAGGGCAGAGCAGTGGATGTGATCTGTATGGACTTCAGTTCAACAAGGTTCCTCATTCCTCCTGTATGGAATGAGCTGCCAGAGGAAATGGTGGATGCTCGTAAAATTATAACAATTAAAAGGCATCTGGAGGATAACTGAATAGGAAGTGTTTAGGGGGATGTGGACCAAATGCTGGCAAATGGAACTAGATTAGTTTAGGATATCTGGTCAGCATGGATGAGTTGGGCTGAAGGGTCTGTTTCCATGCTATACAGCTCTATGACAGCCAACAATCACTTCAAAATCATGCAGACAAAACTCTGGTAATCAATAAAGGTATCGTCCCCACCTCGTTCCCACTTTAAATTCCTTCCAACATGCATTAGTACATGCAGTGGAAGACCAGAGGAAATTAAAAAGTAATGAGAAGCAAATTCGCCTCTTAAGAAAGAAAGACTTAAATTAAAATCACCTTTATCTTCTGCATCAAGAAGATCTGAAGACTGAGTACGTTTGGTGAAACAGTGCTGAATTGATGAAAATAAAATCTTTCAGATATAATTTAAAACCATGACCTATTTAGGTGAATGCTTTTGGTTACATGTGATTGTTCAATGCAGCGTGTTGGGGAAGTTGTCTTGACATCCTGACCAACATTCCTCCCTCGTCCAGAATACAAAAGCAAAGACTAGTCTTCCAATTCTTTCGCTGTTCCTGCTCTATCAATATAATTTCAGCAAAAAGTGAAGTGGCAACCCTGTTCATACTTGCATTTCCAGTAGAGAAGTTGAAGCACCTCAGGAAATTCTCAGCCTCATGGATCGTTATTTCTGTTGATTACATGTTCACCATGTTCATCTGCATAAAATTTCATGTGAATAGTTTTGATACATTTTGGAGAGAAATAGTGATACAATGTAAATGCAAATCTTTGTTACCAAATAGTACATCTTTTTAAATTTAAAAAAAAACTTTAGATACTACATAAATGTGTTTTATAATTAGTTGTATTGTCCCACTCTTCCAACATTTCCTGCAGATGCAGATCACTCTTGAACGTATATGACCCAAAATGGTAAGTGTATTGAATTCTTGCAGCTTCCAGTTCCTTCTATTAGATCTCTGTACCTGTTAAGAAGATTCTGGTTTTCTAATATCCGTTTCTAGGTATTCTTCTTTGTTTCTAATTTATTTACTTTTTCATGCAGAGGGTGGTGCGTGTATGGAATGAGCTGCCAGAGGAAGTGGTGGAGGCTGATACAATTACAACATTTAAAAGGCATCTGGATGGGTATATGAATAGGAAAGGTTTAGAGGGATATGGGCCAAATGCTGGCAAATGGTATAAGATTTATCTAGGATATCTGGTCAGCAAGAACAAGTTGGACCATAGGGTCTGTTTCCATGTTGTACATCACTATGACTCTCTGACCCTACCAGAATAATTCACTATTTTTTTGGGTAGAAGTTGTGCAGGTGGGGATTGGGGAAGTGGGGGCAGTTCTTAGGAGGTTCCACAGTATGTGGGGTCACTAGAATCCGTAACGTTGTCAAATGTATGGTCCTGGCCATTTCATTGCCAGGGCTTCTTTATATTTGAAGTAGGTTAATCCCAATTGGCAGCAGCAACCCACTCAGCCTATATTTGTGACCTGAGCAATTAATGGTCTGAGAGGTGGTGAAAAGGAAAGTGGCTGGGACTGAGGGCTTGAAGGATATGATGACATGACTGATTACTGCATTTCAGAAAATGAGCAATATGGAAAAATAATAATAAATAAAGTGGGTGATTGGGGTATATGGTGTGGAGATAAATAAACGGGGCTATGGGATTGATAGTTATAGCTGATAAATAGGGTTAAGATTTTGAAAAATAGTGAGAAGGCTAAACAATGGTGTTAAAGAATTAAGGAACCTCGTAGAAGTTAAAAAGGTCAGGGTAAATCTGCAGAGGAACTACCAACATCCTTGGCGTAATCTTCTATTACTGACTGTGCTAAGCTCCAGGTTCCCAGTCTAAGTTGACAGCCTGTGTTGACAAGTGTATGTTCATGGCATGCGGAAGTTGCTGCCAGAGCAAGCATTTATTGCGCATCCACAATTGTCCAACAAAATGGTGGTAAGCAATCTTTTTGAACCTCTTCATTTTTAGTGCTTCAAGTTGGTAGTTCCAGGATATTCAGCTAATGACACTGAAAAAAAAATGTATTCCTAAATCAGGATAGTATGTGACTTAGAACCTTGGCAGATTGCCAAAGTACAAACTTGGTAATAATACACACCACTAGCATTGTGAGCCAATAGTGAAGGAATTAAATCTTTAAAATGGTGAATAGAGTGCTAGGTATGCTTAGTCCTAGGTGCTCTTGAGCCTTTAAAGTGTTGTTGGAGCTGCAGTCATCCAGGAACGCATTGAGCATTCCATCACATTCCTTATTCCTAAAAGATGGTCAACAAATTTTCAGGATTTGAAAACTGAGTTGCCCGATGCAGAATTCCAATCCTCTGATTAGTAATTGTATAAGGCAACTATCAAGTTTGTAGGTTCTGTTCCCACATGCCGGCCATGTGGGATTGAGGGTGCGTTCTGTATTCCCAATTCCTGTTGGCGTTTCAAAGGTCACAGCGAACCTGACCTGTGAGCAGTCCCTTTATTATCAGCTGAATATAAGGGGTACATTTTATGCTGAGATGCTTGCAATCTGGGGTGAAAGATACTGATGCATTTTTGTCAACCTTCTCCTTTTTTCTTTTACAGAAATCTGGAATATTCTTGAGAATATACCGCAGTCAAGAAGAATTGGTTGTAATTTTTGTTTAAGATGAATTATCAGTTTGTATCTTCCCTATCATTACAAAAAGTAAACAAATTAGCCAGTGATGAGTCGTCTTTCCTAGGAAGGAAAACTGTGTGGCCAAACTGGTCTATTTTAATTCTAATACTTTCTTTATTCACTGTTACATTTAGAATCACTGACAGTCTATTCTTTGTCTACTAATTCACTTTGATTTTAGTAAATTTGAAAATAAACCTGTATTTTGTAAGATTTACTTTGCTATGGCCTTGCAAAGATTAAACAGCAATATTGTTTTTTTTATGTAATTGTGTTTGAAATCTTAGAAATAAACTTGGGAATAACATATGTGTTCAGTCATTCAATTGGGAGGCCAGTTGAATAATTCAAGTTACAATGTACCCTTCAGAAATGGGGGAGGGGAAGGGGGTTCTGAAATAAATAGGGACAGAGGGGGAGGCGGATAGAAGATGGATAGAGGAGAAGATAGCTGGAGAGGAGACAGACAAGTCAAAGAGGCGGGGATGGAGCCAGTAAAGATGAGTGTAGGTGGGGAGTTAGGGAGGGGATAGGTCAGTCCAGGGAGGACGGACAGGTCAAGGGGGCGGGATGAGGTTAGTAGGTAGGAGATGGGGATGTGGCTTGAGGTGGGAGGAGGGCATAGGTAGGAGGAAGGACAGGTTAGGGAGGCGGGGACAAGCTGGGCTAGTTTTGGGATGCGGTAGGGGGAGGGGAGATTTTGAAGCTTGTGAAGTCCACATTGATACCATTGGGCTGCAGGGTTCCCAAGCGGAATATTCCCCATCCCATTCCTCAGACGACATGTCCATCCTGGGCCTCTTGCAGTGCCACAATGATGCCATCCAAAGGTTGCAGGAACAGCACCTCATATTCCGCTTAGGAACCCTGCAGCTCAATGGTATCAATGTGGACTTCACAAGCTTCAAAATCTCCCCTCCCCCTACCTTAGACACGATAGCTGCTCCTTCACTTCTCTAAAGGCTACATCTGGGCGACAAGACCATTTCTAAGGCTGACCCTTTCTCAACAGCAAATGTGAGAGTGCTAGGATGGAGGCAGGTTAATATTTGAATTTTCTGCAATATTTCACCAACCCACAGAAAGACTTAAGCTCTGGTACAGACATTGGAGCCAGGGC